AAATGGGATCAAAAGAACCCGTTCAGCGAAAACTTCTCCTGGTACCAGAAAAAGTTAACAGTGTAATTGGAAAGTACATAAAATGTTTTCCTTCGAAGATAAGACTGAAAAATCAGCCGTTTCTCCAAGTACACTTGGAAGAAATCACTTAGTAGCCTACAGTAAAGTCGGACGTTTTGTCGCTCTAGTGTTGCATTGTCATAAGTGATTTTGCGACGAAAAAGTGAAACTTCGCGGTTTCTGTCTCACGATTTTTGTAGTAAAGCACATCAGAACGGCCTGAAAGAAAGCACTGTCATAAATTCAACTCAAGTGGACTTGACTGAAATTGGAACTTTCCGGAACAAGCTTGCGATGAAATCTCTGTACAGATCACTGCGACCAACTCTGAAATATATTTGGTTGATAAGCCTTCAGGTGAAATCGAGAAGCAAAGCAGCTTTCAAGTGCAAACTGTTTCAGACCTCAAGAGTGAATGTTTCTAATCTCAGTCGTGATGAACGGCTTCGAGTAGCATCTTCTATTGATTAAGCGAAATGCGTGTTGATCCTACACAATTTCCGAGCTAATGATATCTTCCATGAACCATGTTCGATATAGACAGGCACTCAAATTAAGCAGGCTAAATTAAATTAGACGCTGAAGATGCTAAACTACGTAGGTGGTGGCGGCAAAAAGAATAATTTGCTACACTGTATTAGTTGACAGGCTAACAGGGGGAACAGGGATTCAACAGGTATTCCGAAATATATGAACAAGCGCATTTGTTTTGATAGGCGCTCACAAACGAGGGTAAAATACCATACTACTTGATGGTTGAATAGTAGTATGATTTTAGTACGCACCATTGCAACACTAACGGCGAGTCTGTGGTGCTTCTTTCTCAACCCAGTGGCCAGCATAACACCCACCAGGCTGAAATCCTGCCTGCCGTCCTCGCGTAAATGCTTCGTAGATCACCATAAGACGATGTCAAGAGTCTCGTTAGGACAAGAGTCCAGCTGACTTTTTTGTGACTCCTTTTTTTGAAACCGAGCAAGTTTAGCGAATTTCCCTGGTTATTTGAAGCAGTTTCCTTTTCCTAAACGCAGGAAAGTAGTTCGGACAAAAGCTAACTAAGGACTTCACCCCCATTTTGGGAAAATTCTGGTTGGAGGTCATCTGCACGAGGAGCTCGGTGGCCTTTGAGAGATCATATACAGTGATAAATCTTCAACGCCGTAAAGCGTTAAAGGTTGGATATCCAGGGTCCTAGCGCAGTTTGGGAAACCCATTGAATAGCAACAGGTGGTCACTGGAGTTGTAAGTTACTTGCGGTTTCTCATCGTGGGTAGATTAATTGTGTTTTCGAAAAGGATGAAACGAGAGTGCCACGTCACTTGTGTTTTCAGCATAGGTTTACTTGAGTTTCATAAGACAATCCACAGTTGCAACTTAGGAAGCCCTCACCTACATCAGACAAATGTTACGGGTGAATTACTGTGTGTCAGCTACGCGTTTTGTACAACTTAATTGGGTATATGAAACAAAATTAGCTGCAACAAATACGTCAAGCCCCCATAGTACAATATTCAATAGAGAAAGGTGGTGTGTTCAATTCTCGAATAGTACAGCGGAGCACCGAAAGGTTTACCAATGAACACAAGAGAAGCAAAAGAATTTCGGAGCTCACACAAGAAATTCATTCGTTCCTTGCCAAACATGGTAAACAGAACACCAACCGTTAACATCCACTCTACTCAGCATACGATTAGGTTGAGCTTTTGTGAGACAAGGTCACTAACGGGATAAAACAGTACCCGAATCCCGAGACAATTCCTCGTAAAATAATAATCAAGAATCCTTCGGTCTCCTCGATATTCGCATTCGTGCAAAATGTTGATCGAAGTCCAAAGAAGGAGTTGGATACAAGTTGGATTCCAGTACAACATAAGTTTGACAGAAACTGGGATTGTGTAAGATTGGAGCGATCCAGAACCGCAGCAAAATATCATTCCCATACAGGAAGTGAGATCGATTTGAAGAAACGAACAGGATGTTTTGCAAGTCCACCGAAGGACAAACATTTTGCTTCAAATCCGAACTACTCTGCCTCAAAAACAAAAAAGTGCTTGCTCCCAGTCCTAATAAAATCAATACAGAGCATTCGAACTGTAAATTCATTGGTGAGGATGGCCTACAGACGTTAGGTTTTATTACACAGCTATTGGGATTTTGTTTTTTAGCTCATGACACCTGCGTGCGAGCTAACCGCAGAGCTGGCCACTCGTGGTGGGTTAGGTTTTATTACACAGCTATTGGGATTTTGTTTTTTAGCTCATGACACCTGCGTGCGAGCTAACCGCAGAGCTGATCAGCCACTCGTGGCCGAACTGTTAAGTTTTCAACTAGTAGCCGTAAGTTTGCGAGTTCGAATCTCCCAAGAAATCGATGTGGTGTGCAGTGCAGGTGATCCTTAGTAAGGATAAAGCAGTTGCACAGTATTTCTCGGCACAGACAGACTTCACTTACGGGATGGATGCTCGATTGAAAATTTCCGAATCTCAAACTACCAGAGAGTTTCGTGATGCACACCAGCAAAACAGTCACAAATAATAACCTTCCTTGTGGCTCCCTGACGCAGATTATAGCTGGGTGATTACAGTGGCCCCCCTCACCGTAAGATACAACCGTTTTCTAGTTCGAAGTACGACCTACTAGTGAATTACAGTCACTCAGCGTGGATGGGAAAACGTGAATGGATTCCACTCCCTCAGATTTGAGGACAACTTGCTTCGGTTTCCATATTTTTGTTTACAGGATGCCCATTGAAGGAAACCCAGAGGGAAGACAGCAAAAACCGAGTTACGTGAATAGTCACACCCTCCGCAAGATCTCTCAGCTAAGGTCCACACCAACCGTCGTTCAACTCCCCGAGATTCTTCCCACGGAAATAGACATGAACCCCTATGAAGATTATCTCCTGGGAAACGGTCAATCATATGATAAGTGCTGTCTTTCTGGTGAAACAGCATACAAATCGACCCTAACTCGGTTCAATATTCTCAGTTCACTAGACTGATAGCCGCTCATCATCATTGTTCCCGTGCTTCCGGACCATTCAATACGTGCGTACCATGTACGGCAACATCTTCAGGGTATGAATCGGATAATCCTGTTGTGCATGCCTGAAAAAGGCAATGAGTTACAGTACTACTCATGTTATCGCCATTTATTGGAAGACTGATAATCCTGGCATCCAGCAGCCTGTCCTAAGCCGTTCGAACTGGCCACGAATGAAACGATTCGTAGTAGTAGTCTGGAGCATTTCCCTACCTGATACGTTCTATATATTCTTCGAATTCGGCTGCTTGTATATTTATGGTCATAATTATGCCTTGCAAACACAAACGATGGCAGTAGTTCGCAGAGGTTTCACCTGCCGGATAAGCCCTATCCTAACGAACCTAGAAGCAACATGGGAAAATGTATTGCTGAAGCACGCTTTTTATAAACAGCCGAAGTGGGTACATGCACTGACTTGCTGAGTGCCCATCGACAAACAAAAAGACCCATGACCACTCACACGTAGGTAAAGTATTGTTACAGCTTGACACCACCTACTTTGAAATCGACTACCTCTTAAAATGAGCGCAGTCATTGTTGGTTGACAGGACAAGTTGTCCTGACCGTTGCATTTCTCCTCAATTGGAACTACATGTAGTGAAGATCTCTTAAAATGGAAGGTGACCTGGTGAGCCAATAGAAAGGTGCGGTTCGAAAGTTGTCCATTTACGCTTAACCAGGTGATTACTTCGCAGTACAGTACACGTGACGCCTATAGTTAGAGATTCCAACTAGCCGATTGTATGCACTAATGAACATGCTCCTGTTTCACCGGAAACCAAGGCTGAGGTGGGTGAAAAAACAAACCGGTCTGATAACGGCAAAAACGAACTCATAAGATATAAGGTTCCATCAAAACCCAGTGGAACGACAGTTCGAACATGGGAATGAATAAAAATGCCGCTTTGTTGATAAGGTTATTGTTTTTATTTTCCCAATAAAATCCCTACGTCCCCACCTAAACTATTTGAACTGCGTGGGTATGCGGTAGTGGCTTGCGCTGGTGAATTTGCCGCTGGTTGCAGCGATATCCTTGGAACATTAATGAATGAGCATTTTCGGCAATAGTGCAATTTTTAAAGGCGCATGTAGTTGCAAGCTTCTCGGAGGGGCTCAATAAGATTGCGGTATTGAGACGTAGCACATATTTGCGTTCCCCAATAACCAGCTTCGCGGGAGAGTACCCGTGGTGTCTGTTGAAGATTATTCTGGTCTCCGGAATTGCCTAACCATGACCACCGTCATTTAAGCGAGGCACAACGACTTCGTTCAACTGATTTGACGAACAGGACAACGCTGGAACCTGTGGTAGGTTGAATGAAGGGGACACTTATGTCTGACCCAGCTTGGAAGTAACGCGCGTCAGTTTCGGTTGAAAATGACCCGCACTGTCAGAATCACCCAAACTTCCCAGAAAATCTTAGACAGGGTAGTAAATAACCTCGCCGGCAAGTCAACCGCGTGCTGGTGAGGAGTGGACACCCGCACGTTCAAAGCTCTTCCTTGTCGGTGAGCACCACTTACCGATGAAAGCTGCGTTAGCCGAGCAGTCGACTGAAACCACTCGTCGGTGAACCAATACCGAAAAGTGGTCCTTCCTTTTGGACACCCCGAATAAGGATCTCAATCACTGGAGATTATTTCACTCCGATCGCGCGAAAGACATTTATTGCACTTACCACGTAGAAGACGAATATACACGTGATGTCGGTAAAAGTGCAGTCCAATATGCGCCCTGGGAACTGCTCTTCATTAATACTTTAGTCCGACAATATCTTCGCCCGCCCTTCGTGATAACTAAATGTGATTTTCGTCTTGGATTAAATAGTCGAGAAGACGGAAGAAGACATTAGCTTTCCACTTTTACATATTTCACCAGAAAGAGTAACGTGGGAGTGACTCAGTTTAACAGTGCAAAGACTCCATACATAGGAACTCTCAAAGACTGCTGAGTCTGTGCAATGCATGGGATCGCCACAAGGGAGAGATCTGAGTAAAACTTGTCGAGTGCATATGTCTGTCCAACTAATCGCGTAATAAATCGAGAAACAACGGTAGACCGTGCAAAAATGTACAACGTCCGAAAGGAGTTCAAACGCTGACTCGGTTTATTTTGAAACTGTATGATACAGACTATATGTTGACAAAAAAGGGGTCGCAGAAAGAAAGGCTGAAGGTAAAGCACAATATTCCAAATCATAAGATGTACACGCCTTGCCGAATAATCTAAACGCGGGTCTACAGTAACATTCAAAAGAAGTGTTAAAACGCGTTTGTCATGGATAGACGCTATCTACCACAACGTCCATGAATTAATTCGCAAACGAACGGAAGATGAACTAGTCCGGTTCAAGGGAAAGTCCACAAATATTCGAGTGCGATTCCAATTCTCCAACGCATCAAGTATGGTATGACTACAAAAGAAAGGGGAATGAAGGAGATGCTAAGATGCAACAACAGAAATCTGTACCTCCAGAGTACTGATTTAACCTAACTCAATAACCGACTCATTCAAAACATTGGGTTATTACCAACCGTATGCATCACAAAAAATCTCGATGATTTACTCTAACTTAACACCCTGGTTAGTCAACCGGTTGGAAAATTCATGACATTGTGTGAATATGGACAAAAAAACGATGGATTACGGTTGATCAGAACGATAAGGGTTATATTACCGGGATAAATAGCGGAAAGCTTTGTAGCTCATGGGTATATTGTGGTGCTGTTCAACACAAGCGTACTGACAATGCTAAAAGAGCCCTTGAAAGCTAGCCAATGGCGAAGCAAATATTTAAAATTCTGTGTAGAGGACCACCCTCAACTGATCGTATTTCGTTGCACATACCAATGCTTTCCTCACTGCTACGTATAAAGACAGTAAGGAATGGCCATGGATGGATAAGTGGTACACTTAAAAGATAGTGAGACTTCATTGGAACCCACCCGTCTTTTCCAGTCATAAATGCCGAGGGTATCAGTACTCTTCTCGAGGTCTCGTCCTGTACCATACTGAAAGTTTGGGTAGAAGTTGGTGTATAGTCGTAAACAATCGCCGCGACTGCGCCAGCAACGTGAGCATTGATTACCTTAGTAACGAAGCTGCATCCGCTATAAAAGTATGATTAAAATAAAGGGTAAATGATAGACGAACCCCCTCAAAATGAATGCAATATGGCCTGCCAACGGAAGATCTGTTTCAAGATTTCTAGTGAAAGGCTCGCACGCACTCTCAGGTTTGATCGGCACCAAGTAATGTTCATTGGTTGTGTTCTGGAAAGAAATCGGTGAGCTCCAAAAGCCTCAACATACAAAAGGTGGACCGATCCGCGCAACTGTTAGCTTGAAGATGGTCGCGAATTCAGGAGGATCGAGCACGCGTAAGTAAAGATAGCCCACACTTCGAACCAAAGTAGCTGAAACGTGACATGTAAGGCGACCCTTAGATGGAAAACTTACTTCGAAGCAAAAGAAGGCAGAGAACATAAGCTAATATAACAGAAGGGAGCTTCCGCAACGAATATGGGATTTGTGTGCAGAGGTTCAACATATAGTAATCCATGGGCATAGAATGGGGACCGCCTGAATTAAGTCATAGAGGAATAAGTAAACATTCACACGGAACAAGCCGAGGTGTCCAGTTAGACCGAAATATAAATTTTATGATTAGTGACATTGTCAGTCGTAAACAATGACCTGAAACGCCGTACGGACACAGACAATTCTACTTGGAAAATAAGAAAGAAACACTACAGCACAATACGAAACCTTCGTGGGAAAATGCATGGGTACTACACGAGTATCGGAGGCATGTACTGGTTGGTGCGAACTCAGTGCTATCGAGCAAGAGGTACAAATAGTATCAATAGTAAACATTAAGTTTGGTTAATCTGAAAGGAAAAAGACCCGGGTGGGAGGGGCAAACAGCCACGGAACTTCCAAGTTCACCTGAATGGGACATTTCCAAACAAGCTGGACGAATGGGATTATAAAAGACAAGGATATATCGCTCGAATCCACAATCGATGAATCAATTTATCAGCTATAAGCCGTGTGCCATAGGCACATTGGTTCCAGCTGCTACAGTTTCGATCACCGAAAGGTGGGGGAGTGTGGGATATACAGTCAAGCCTTGGAGGCGATGGCATATCTAGTTAGTTAGGGCACAGGGAACCTATGCATTGAAGGCGATAGCTACGATGCACGAGCGCCACTGACTGCGGCTTTGGGCCAGTTCTGTCAGTGTCAACAACCATTAGTAAGTCGAGTCCCAGGGTCCCCATCCAGAGAGGCGATAGTTGTCGACCCGACAAATTTTACTGGTTAGTGCTTTCACGCCCAGTTGCCAGATCATACACTGTCCACCTCTCGGTCGCTTCCACTCAGCACAGGGTTCAGCGAAAACAGCCCTACGAGGCAGACGGTCTTCTGGCATGTAGAGTGCCTGTCTTAACTAGCGTAACCTATGAAACGTGAGTGATTCATCTATAGCGAGTTTCTTCTTCCTGGAACCCTTGGGGGCGAGATGGCCCAAGTGGTTAGAGCGCGAATTTACTGACCGGAAGGTCCGTGGTTCGAATCCGACCTCCGCCACTCGGATTCCCCTGTCTATGCTTGGGCAACCTGGCAGTATCCTAGCCCTCGTGCTTCCTTCGGGTGGCATGGCAGCTAAGCACCGGAAGGGTGCTACAGCTGAACGTTTTCTTTCTTTACTGGAACCCTCAGCATTATTAATCTGATGTTCCAACCACACCCGATCAGTGCTTCGGAGAAACTGATGCTCAAACATTAGCATCTTTCATACAACCTCTGCGAGTAGAGACTACGTCTCTGTCCTTGAGAGACAAACTGACGTCACGTCGACGCCACGGTTGTCGGAGGTCGAAAAAAACACCCTGAACTTTGCGATTGGAGAAGTTATCTCATATGCAGCCAGTCCATCGGAACTTATACAACTGCCCAGTCTAACATCATCATCATCATCAATGACAGCAACATCGGTGTTGCCACTGATGCTTCACTGCCGTACAACCATAAAGTTCGTTTAGTTATATATATATATATATATATATATATATAATTGTATTAAAAGCCCTACAGTGAAGAGAAGAGAAAAAGAGTGGGTG